ATCTTTTGATTTCTCAGCCCTTGATCTGTCTGCCTATAAACTCTCTGTCTTTGTGCTATGCTCTCTCACTGCACCTGACGAAGGGGCTGCACTGTGAAAGCTTGTGATTTCAAATAAACCTGTTGGACTATATCCTGGTGTCGTGTGACTACTGACTAGGTCAAGGGAGAATGTGGGAGGTGAGGTGACGGGGGTAGATGTGAAATGTCACACCTCAGGAAGCAGGAAGTACATTACAATTTGGCAGGCCTCTGATAGGGACACGGTACCCAAAAAAAGGAGGTGTCCCCTCCTACCTGGCCAACTGGCAACCTGGCCACTTGGCACTGGCTTCCCCCACCACAAGTATAACCTGAGGGGGGAGAGGGCGTAAAATTCCAGCCATAAAACAGGAGTATGTCTTTCAGCCCCTGGAATCTGTTCCAACGTTCAGTTAGATCATGAGTTTTCTGCACCTGAATGTCATTTCTTGCTGGAGCTTCTGAAAACCTGAGGCGGATTTTTAGGTTCAAATTTAACCCTGGGGTACGTGTCAAACACACTCATTGGAGACAATTTGAGAGCAGGGGCTGTTTTCTCCACTATTTGGATTGAGAAATCTGCTGTCCACATTCCCACCTGAAACCCCTCCCCTGCAGCTGTTTTATGCTGCAAACATCTTTAATTGTTTCAGGATGATTATATCCAATTGAATAGAACCATGGCACAAATCACAGATTGTAATCATTTCCCAAGAACACTTCTTCTTAATTCATTAGGCTCTCTTAAACAGAACCACTAAAGATCTATTCTGTTACATATTGTGAGGGTTTTGTAACCCAGGATAATGCTGGCTTTTCTCCAGATGACAAATATTCTTAGAGCACTCACATATTAATCCCTCCATCCTGTAAAATGGTCATTCACTTCTGCAACAAAACAGAAGAGTTATTATTCATACAAAAGCCATAAATTATAGTCTGATTTGATTCCCCAACTTCTCCAATTCAAAACTCTTATTCTTCATCCACGGCCTTGCTCCTTGCTGTATTCTCACTATTTCCATCTGACCGATACTTACTCAACTTTCACAACTTTCTGTCCAAGTTCTTATCTAATTCTGCCTTCCTTCACCTTGGCACTTGCACCTTCAGCTGTCGAGGCCTCATGTTCTGGAATCTGCTTCCTAAATCTTTCCAATTCTGTAACTGTCTCTTCTCCTTTGGGACTTTCTTCAAGACTCAAGTCTTTTCGTTCCTCAGTGGATTCCTCCTTCTCTGGCTCAAGATCAGCTTTTCATGATGTCTATGTGAAGTGACTTAGAATATGTTTCCAAAAGCTGCTGTTCTTACATTAAATGAAAACTGGTCTGGGCTAATGATATCTATTTTCTATTTTAATGTATTTTAATCAGGTTCAATGCTAGGATACATTAGTTTAACACTAATGAAGTGTACCTGGCATAGTACTGACTTCTACAAAATATCATTAGGGAAAGAGATGGTATTTGAGATTCTACTGCAAATTGCGACACAATATTAAGATGAAACGTGCCCAGATATTAACTTTTCCATAGGCTTCCTTTAAAACACCTCAACTTGAAAATCATCACTCAGTTTCAGGAGTACTATACATACACTCAAGGCACAGCATATTATAGGGCTTGCAGGAACGCTAGAACTTTACAGAGCCACATGCAGAATATGCATGTAGGGTTAAAATTTCAACCACTCTGTTTGTGGGGCCCTGGTACATTAGCCACTGAAACAATGAAATTTCATTGAATGTAAAAGATCAGAGTGATGTGAAAGTAGGCAATTGATATACCATTCGAAGGAGGGACTTGTTTAGTACTTATTGACAAAATCTTATTTCATACAGACAGAAGGTATATTTGTCATGTAATTGACTCACACATATCTGCAGAACTTGTCTGACTAGTTAAGTGATGTGCAAACAGCATATGTCAACAGCACTAAGAGGAAACACGGGAATGTTCAAGAGAAGGACATGGACAAACAATTGGAATGCCTGATAATGACTTCCAAAAACAAATTGATTGCCTGATTGTTTTGGCACCGCTGTCTAGATAAAGGCATACAATTGCTTAATCTTCTAAACTGTGAATGAAATTGTTAAAGCTTGTTTTAAAACAATATCACCTTTGTCTGTGGCTGGTCACTAACTCACGCTGAAGCCTTAAAAAACAAATTCTTACACTGTAAGGTCTTGGATCCCTACCCCTAACAACACCTGCCTGGTTTAAGAGTGCTTAATACCCAGTACATTCAAAACCGCACTGCTGTCTTCTCAAAACAGGAGTGCAGAAAATTAGAAACTATAAAACTTTAATTGAGTGGAAGAAGAAAAGATCCACAAAGAACATTGAAGCAACTCCATGAAAATGACTATTTCTTAAATAGAGAGATAAAACATTTTAAAGCAGCATCAGAATTTGATTAAAGCTTCAGGTATTTGCAGTGATATCAGCATATTGATGATAAAGGTGCTGTTGTACATTAAGTTTTAAAAATAAGTCATTGCCTTCACCAAAATAGAAGATAAAGACATTTCAGATGAGTATAGATATCACTACTGCATAAGTACAGGACCATAATATTCATTTGTTACCTATAAATGTCACTTACCTTTTTAAACTGTAAGCATTTGACCTGACATTCTTCTTGGGTGTTAAAACGGTTATTATTCCCCTCACAGCCTCCATACCAAAATTGTGCACAGGAGTTAGCTGAGGTATCGTAATACCATTTAATGACATAACTCCTGCATGACCCTTGATCAAGGGGTTCATTGCAGGCCTGATCTGGAATGTAAGATCAGAATATTGTTAGTCATTTGCAAATTTGTACTTTGATTTTGAAATACACGATGTACAGAACATATTGTTCTCTTCAAAGTCATTTGTTTCAAAAGCAAAACTTGCCACTTGTGTTACAGGGCTTCCTCCTTGCTACTCAGCATAACTTGAGGAAGTGAAGATGAAAATTGGGAGACAGCCTCGTGCTGTCTGCTATCATTATCCAATTCAGGGATTCCTACTTGCATACAATATACAGGCTGACATGTGCAATACTGTGGCAACATAAGCACCTCATTCAACATTTTCCATAATTCTTACCTAACAACAACAGAAGGAGACAACTGCGTTGGTCTGAGCAGCAGAAAGCCACTTAAGGTTCATATGGCCAAGAATCTAATGTAATTAATTAAGCACAAATAAACTCCTTTATATGTTTGTCTTTTATAACAGGCAGAAAAGCAATGACAAGGTTTGGAAGTCTGCAATAAGCAAAATTCAACACAACTTCCAACACCTCCCTCCCTCGCTGCCCCACCTCCCCTGGTGGATTACCTGGAAAAGGCACCAGAGTTTATCTAACATATACACATGAACCTGCCTGGGGAAAGTGCCTTGGGTTAGAGGTATATGCTGGTATCAGATGGCAGGCTCACCTCACTGTGGAAGCTGTAAGACTTGGTACCAGTGGAAAATCCAGACTCAACAATCTGAAATGTTTTATCATTGTGTCCAGAATTACTTGAAGCTGCTTGTTTTAATGTACAATTTTCTTATTTAGGTTTTGCCATTAATATTCTATGTTGGACTTGGAAAAGTTGAATGGATAAACCTTATCATAACAAATTCTTATAAGACCAGAAAATAAAAAGTTGTGATTTGTGCCATGATTCTGTTGCAGTGGATACTTTTGATAATACTTTGCCTCAGTCTGTCTGCTCCCTATGTTAGGAGTTCATGGGTCGCTTTGAAAGATATTTAAATCACCAAGATTTTATATTTTTTGTTGGAGAATGCAGAGTGCATAAGAATTCTCAATAAGTCATTAATTGCCTAAGTGGAGAGTGAGGTGAGATTACATAGGGCAAATGTAGGCCAATCAGCTCCTTTAAAACCATTGAATGTGATCGTGACTGATTATGCCTGAAGTTCATTCATCGTTCTGTAACCCTTATTGCTCTTGCCTAATGAAAATTTATTATCCAACAGTTGACTCCACCTAAAATTTATAGGTCTCAAATAATACCTAAACTTTTCTGTGATTTCCGGATCTGTAAATCATTTCGGGTTCTGAACATTCTGTAAAAGGTAGTGGAACAACAGCCTGTCAGTAACAGGTCTTCTCTCTTTACTGCCACCTGCTGATGAGGAAAGGTTGAACTAATTCTCAAAATCAGCAGCATTAACAAACCATAGTACTTTCTACTACTTTTCAGAGGTCACTGCTATTTCCAGGTAGGATGCAGTGATTTAGATATGTTCAATATAAATATATTGTGAAATCTGCTGTTAAAACATACAAACCATATATACGGTATTCAACTGATTTTGGCTACAATTAGCCTGAGTATTCCTGAACGAGAAATGACAAAACCAGCCATTTAACCTACTAATGAATGATTGTGCCCATTGACTTCATGGAAATTGAAACAGAATTTCACAATGTGATCCAAAAGCACCAATAAGGATCCAGAAATTCTTAATTTATTTTTCCAGAGTTTGGCATTTTGTAAATAGTCAGGGTAAAATGATGGTCTTGCTGGGGAATGCGGACATTGAATGAAGACAAGATTGGCTGAGCTAGGGTGATCTGTAAGACTGAACATCTTACTGGGATCCACTAAGACTGGCTCAATGGCCAAGAAAGTGTAGGGACCTGAGGAGAGAAGACTGGAAGTAACACAGTGTGGAGCTGGAGGAGCACAGGAAACGTCAACTTTCCTGCTCCCCTGATGTTGCCTGGCCTGCTGTGCTCTTCCAGCTCCACATTGCGTTATCTCTGACTCCAGCATCGGCAGTTCTTACTATCCAAGACTAGAAGTAAATCACATTAAATAAAAACACAGCTTTGGAAATACATTTTACCTATTTTTCTAATCAACCTGTTTGGAGATGTTATTACACACCTCTGCAGCAAGTGGGACTTGAACCCAGCCCTCCTGGTCCAGGTGTAGGTACACTACCAGTGTGCCACAAGTGTCTTAAAAAGAATGAATGCTTCATGAATTTCCATGTTATCCTTGCGTAGGGGCCATGCTAATCTTCTCTGTATTGTTCCAGTTTTGGTATATGTGCTGCCAAAGCAAGCATTTTTTAAAAAAATTAAACCTATTTTTCTAATCAACCTGTTCAGAGATGTTATTACACACCTCAGGAGTGGGTGAGACTTGAACCCTGGCCTCCCAGTCCAGGGGCACTACCACTGCAACACAAGAGAGTCCCCATTATTACATTTGAGCTTGCAAACACAAGTAAGATATGTCCTGCAGTGTGTTCAGACATAAAAACTTAATAACAGCTAAATTTTGAGTACCTTCATGAACTTCCTGTATTAATATTTGTGCTGGAGTGGATACTGGAAGAAGGACGTTTGGCAAAACAACGTCATCTTTAAAAGAATTTGGCTCTCTCCTTACAGCTTGGTCATCAGGTCCAGATCCTATATCAGGCCTTCCAGCAGTCGGTAATCCTGGCAGGGGAACTGATTCTTTTGGCCTTGTAAATACATCTTCACTGCCACCATGTGATTCTATTTTATTTCCACTTCCTCCTGGAGGACCACGCTATAGGGGAAAAAATGGATTTACAGAATATATTATTCAATTGAAATAATTGCGGATAATCTTCCAGTATGTGATCCTGACTGTTAATCATCTGGACTTAGTACGCACAATTCTGACATTGAATCTGAAAGGGAATGTGACAAATTCAGCTTTCACTCAATTTCCAGGAGCAGAGGGAAGCTGGAAAGAAGAATGTTTTTAAAATATTATATATCAGCATTTATAACTTATATAATTCAACATTTTTTTAGATAAAGATTATGTTGTCGTGCCATAAAAATTTGAGCCATACTTTTAATGAGAGGATGGGACATGGTTGGAAATGGTACTCACTAACCCAATGGATGTTGACACACTCCAAAATAATTAATAGGTTGCTTCCCAGCCAATTTTTACAGTCAGGTTACATTTCCATACATCTCATCAGACCCCTAGTTCCTGACAGACTCAGTATTCAGCTGGAGGGCAGGGGCAGGAATTTGGACATTAGGAGACCATCACAATCGATCTTTGGGAAAGACCTCTCCAGTAGAAGAAATTACATAGCAGTGTTTGCAATTCTGGGGGAGTGAAGTGTAGTGGGGAGGATGCCATGGACAAGGGATCCCTAGGTTTCCTTAATTTGTGAGGCCCAGAATAGCACTCTTGCTCTTCCTTTCTCGCATATCTTCTAAAAAATCAACTTTCTGTGGCTCTGCCTCCTGGCTGAAGATTTGGTTCTGAGCAGTTTTAACCTGATGGAGAATTCATCACAGCTACCCCACTCGAGCTTGTGGCTAACTTTGCAGTTAGGTCTTGAAGTTGTAATTGGGATCTGCCTTTCTGTAGCTGTCCTTGATTGTTCATGTGAGTTAATTACAGAACTTAATGGGAAATTAGTTGGGTCAAAGATGGTAAGTTGCAGTTATTATCGAGATGTCCCTTTGTCGTGGTTTCTGACGGTTTGTGGTTGTGATTGTGGTGGGGGTAGCAGTGGCGGGGGTAGGGGTGGGGGGGCGGTGGTGGGTGGTGGTGAGGGGAGACAGTATTTTGAATTCCAGGAAACTCCCTACCAGCAGATGATGTGTCTATTTCTGAATGGCCATGTGTATAAAGGTGACAGAGTCATGTATGGAAATACTGCTGTGCTAGAAATTCTATCATTTACATCAAACGTAACCTGATGCAAATTAAGGCATGCAAAAAAAGGTGGTTACTTGTGTAAACTTGACAAACCAGAATGTGATTGTACTAAAGTCCATGAACTTTCTGAAGTATGAATTATGATGAATGCACTGTGAGAAGAGGTATTTTAAGAGCACAAGTCTAAACAAGAAACAGTTATACCTTAGAATACTCAGCTACTTATTACAGAGTAGTTTTGCTTCTTATATGCACCACGCTTCTTATTATTTTCTTATTAACATTCTTATTATTCTTTCCACGTTGTTCTCAAACCTATCCTGGTACTGTGCTAGGTGACAAGTGAGGGGAAGGCATATCATTGCTGTGTGTAGTATCATAAGCCTCTTGGGCTAGAAACCATTTCAACTCCCCCTCCCATTCCTCAGACGACATGTCCATCCTGGGCCTCCTGCAGTGCCACAACGATGCCA